CACGAGTCATAAAAGGGCCAAGTTTGAAGACCCCTGACCTAGTTCCTTTAGCTCAGGGGTAGTCAACCTTGGCTCTTGTATGACTCGTGGACTTCAACTCCCAGAATTCCTCAGCCAGCCATGCTGAGGGGAAAGGGAGAGATTTCCAAGCTGAGCCATGCTGGCTCAGGGATTCTGGGAGTTGAAGTCCACGAGTCATGAGGGGGCGATAGTTCCCCCATGCTGGCTGAGGAATTCTGGGAATTGAAATCCGCAAGTCATGAAGGGGCCATATTTCCCCCATGCTGGCTGAGGAATTCTGGGAGTTGAAGTCCACAAGTCATGAGGGGGCCAGGGTTCCCCCATGCTGGCTCAGGAATTCTGGGAGTTGAAGTCCACGAGTTATAAAAGAGCCAAGGTTGCCTACCCCTATTCTAGAGTCTCAACATCTGTTTGGAAGAAAGGAGCGTTGCCAGTACAGTGTTCTACCTAAGAACATCTGCCCGGTGGAACATCAGCCAGGAGAACCCGGCTATGAGCATACAGGACACCACACCCAATATCACTACGGTGTATGTCAGCTGAACTTTGACCAACAATTAAACAAGACATTGCTTACCTCAAATTGAGATAAGGTGAGAACTAAGAGTTTGCTTCTCACGGTTTCTGGCTAGACTAGAGTAGATAGCAAGTTGTTCTAGACCAGGGGTAGGCAACCTTGGCTCTTTTATGACTCGTGGACTTCAACTCCCAGAATTCCTCAGCCAGCGTGGCTCTGCTTGGAAACCTCTCCCTTTCCCCTCAGCGTGCCTGGCTCAGGAATTCTGGGAGTTGAAGTCCACCAGTCATAAAGGGGCCATAGTTAGCACCCATGCTGGCTGAGGAATTTTGGGAGTTGAAGTCCGCCAGTCATGAAGGGGCCATAGTTCCCCCATGCTGGCTCAGGAATTCTGGGAGTTGAAGTCCGCCAGTCATAAAGGGGCCATAGTTAGCACCCATGCTGGCTGAGGAATTTTGGGAGTTGAAGTCCGCCAGTCATGAAGGGGCCATAGTTCCCCCATGCTGGCTCAGGAATTCTGGGAGTTGAAGTCCGCCAGTCATAAAAGAGCCAAGGTGGCCTACCCCTGGTCTAGACTCTGATCAGTCGGAAGCTGCAAGTCAGCTGTTCAAAGACATCCTCTGTTTTCTCACGTTAATGACACAATGTTCTTCCTGGCAACTAAGGTTGAAGGGCACGACAACCTGTGTAGGTACTCCTCGATTTAACGACCGCAGTTTATTTATTTATTTATTAAATTTATATACCTCCCTATCTCCCTTGCGGGACTCAAAATTGAGTTGAGCTCAAAATTCCCACTGCTAAGCACGGGGGTAGTTAACCGAGTTATGCCCCATTTTACCACCTTTCTTTCACGGTTGTTAAGCAAGTCACTAGCGTTGTTAAGTGAATCACGTGGTTGTTAAGTAACTCTGGCTCTGCCCCCCCCCCATTGACTGCGTTTGTCAGAAACCCCCTAGGAAGGTTGCAAATGACAATCCCAAGACCCCGGGACACTGCAAAGATTGTAAATGCATGCTGGCTGCAAGAGAACAACCAAGCTCAGAGAGCACCAAGGACCCCATGGTCCTCCTCCTCCTCCTCCCCTTTGCAAAACCCACCCTGTTCTAGCACTGAAGATGTTATCTAGCTGGGTAGTAAAATGTCTGCAAGGAAACTACCAAACTCAGAGAGCACCAAGGACCCCACAGTCGTCGTCGTCGTCGTCGTCGTCCTCCTCCTCCTCCTCCTCCTCCTCCTCCTCCTCCTCCTCCCATTTGCAAAACCCACTCCATTCTAGCACTGTAGATGCTATCTAGTTCAGGGGTCCTCAACCTGTGGGATGTGGCCATTACTGGGCCGCGGCTGCTTGGCTACCAGGCCGCGTGAAGGGATGGCTCCCCACACTCGCGCTAGTGCCGCCCCGAGCTTCCTCCCAGCGTGAGCACCACCCCGCCCCGAGCATCCCACAGGTGCTAGCGCCGCCCCAAGTATCCCGCAAGCGTTAGTACTGCCCCGCCTCCGAGTGTCCCACCGGTGCTAGCGCCGCCCTGAGCATCCCGCCGGCGCTAGTGCCCCCGCAAGCCCTATTTGCATGTGCACATGTGCTCGTGCACGGCCATTTGCGTGTGCGCATGCGCTCATGCATGGCTTATTTGTGCGCGCACACACAGGGCTCATTTTTGGACGCACATGCTCGCGGCCTATTTGCACACGCACACGTAGCGGTGCCTGCCTCCCTTTCCGGGCTGCCAAATCAAAAAGGTAAACCTGCTCGAATCCCTTTGAGCCTACTGGCAAGCCAAAGCATTTGATTTATTTATTTAACATTCTTTCTGCTTTGGTGAGCTGTACCCCAGACACTCCTGCCCAGGTGGCTCGTTTCGTTTTCAAGGCTTGGCAAGGTCTCCTACAGGTTGCTCTCACAACTTTTGAGCAACGTTACAAAATTGCTCAAATTCACTCAAATTGCCACTCTGCTTGGGCAGGATCTGTGAAGGTAACTGATGGGATTCAAGGGTTTCTCAAACTTGGAAAGTCACCCAGTTGGCTTTCATGCCTAAGGAAGGACTAGAATTCACGGTCTCCTAGTGACTGGCCTAAAGTCACCCAGTTGACTTTGATGCCCAAGGAAGAACTAGAATTCACGGTCTCCTAGTGACTGGCCTGAAGGACTAGAATTCACGGTCTCCTAGTGACTGGCCTAAAGTCACCCAGTTGGCTTTCATGCCCAAGGAAGAACTAGAATTCACGGTCTCCTAGTTACTGGCCTGAAGTCACCCATTTGGCTTTCATGCCTAAGGAAGGACTAGAATTCATGGTCTCCCAGTGACTGGCCTAAAGTCACCCAGTTGTCTTTCATGCCTAAGGAAGGACTAGAATTCACCCTCTCTTTGTGACTGGCCTAAAGTCACCCAGTTGGCTTTCATGCCCAAGGAAGGACTAGAATTCACCATCTCCTGGTTTCTAGACCAGCACTTTAACCACTAGACTAAATTGGCTCTACTCCTTAAACCGAGCAGACACAAATCCAATCATTCCGTCATCCAGTAGAATGTTTTGAAAAGATCAAAAAGAGGTTGGGAAAAAAAACCCCTTGTAGCCTGATCTGCTTTAAAAAAAAACCATTCATGTTATCTAAAACACACCTCTGCTCTTAAATTCATACCCGGAATATTTTTCATTTGACAAATCTTCAGTTGCTTAGGAAGAAGACCGAGAATTTAGTGTATAAGGTAGTAGCCTTTTTTAAGACAATCACTGTCAAAAACAAAGGCTGGATTTCTTCCGTTGTATATAACGGTGGGCAGGTGGGCAGGTGCCCCTTCTACCCAAAATTACCTAAGATAAAACCTCTTTCAGTTTATCATAGAGATCTTTGCGCAGCCATGCTGGTTTCTTCTTGGATTTCTTGTTTTTCTTTTTCAGTGGTATTATGTTGGACTGGGCTTTTATGATCATATTTTTATAGTTTCCCACACTTCTTGAGTTGTTGTACTTCTGGTAGATTGGATTCAAATTCCTCATTAAACTCTGCTCAAAGCCACCAAAGACACTGCCCCCTCTTGCATCTACACCGATATCACTCTTTCCACCAGCTAGCCCAAGCTAGACGTGAGTCATCAGTCTAAAATATCTGGCCTTGGCCAAGCCACACCTTTGCAATCTTGTTCTCCGAGTGTTAAAAAAAAATAGGAACAAAGAACTGCATAATGTGGCGGAAAGGAACTAGATAAAAGCTGCAAAGCCAACATTTTAGGACTTTGTACAGGGCTGCAGTTTCGGAGGAGGAGAACCCTTGAAATGTTCTGGGCTGAAGGTGGCTGAAGCCATCAAAAACATCCCCATGTGGGTTTAAAGGTTGAACAATGGGCGGATGGCTGCAAAAATCGATGGAGTAAGCAGAGATGACTAAATTGATTTGATTAAAGAGGGAGAAAAAAAAACACCTTGGAAACCGCTTCTGGACTTTGTGCTTGTGGTGGGAAAAAAAAAAGGAAACATTGATTTTGGGTTTGACCGATTAGATAGGTTTGCTGTTCATAGAAACGGCGAGTTTACACTATTAGGTAAAAAGTAAAAAGTTTAGCTCTGATGCTATTGCAGGTCGTCCTCAACTTACAACAGCTCGTTTAGCGACCGTTCGAAGTTGCAACGGCCCTGGAAAAAAAACAACTTAAGAGCATTTTTCACACCTACGACTGTTGCGGCATTCCCCCGTGGTCACCTGATTGAAATTCAGATGCTTGGCAACTGGCTCACATTAATAATAATAATAATAATAATAATAATAATAATAATAATAATAATAATAATAATAATAATAATAATAATAATAATAATAATAAAGCTGGAAGGGACCCTAGAAGTCATCTAGTCCTACCCCCTACTCAGGCAGGAAACCCTATACCATTTCAGACAAATGGCTGTCCAGTCTCTTCTTAAAAACTTCCAGTGTTGGAGCATTCACCGTTGCTTCTTGTCCGGCCGTCGGGCGCTTTGGAGAATAGCTTGACTCCCTCTTCTTTAGGGGCAGCCCCTGAGATATTGGAATACTGCTATCATGTCCCCCCCTCGTCCTTCTCTTCGTTAAACTAGATATCCCCAATTCCAGCCACCGTTCCTTATATGCTTTAGCCTCCAGTCCCCTGATCATCTTTGTTGCTCTTCTCTGCACTCTTTCTAGAGTCTCAATATCTTTTCTACAGCGTGGTGACCAAAACTGGATGCCGTATTCCAAGTGTGGCCTTACCAAGGCCTTGTAAAGTGGTATTAACACTTCCCATGATCTTGAGTCTATCCCTCTGTCAATACAGCCTAGCATTGTCCAGTTGCCAGGGTTCAACCTTCAGACACCTTGGCCTGGATGACTGAAAGTCTTCATCTCTGCGTGAGGGAAGGAGCCTGCGGCCAAAATACTCAGAAACACAACACAGGTAGCACCCACATACATACACAAAAATCCCCCCACAATTCTACTTACAGTGCCGGGCCTGGTGAAGTCTATGCTATGCGCAACGCTTTGCTTCATCTGATTGCTAAAGAGACGCAGGCAGACACTCTGCAGGTCTTCCGGGGTGATCTGCGAAGTAAGCAACGAAACCCCAATAAGGAAAGTTAGAACCTTGTTTCCCTTTAAAAACAACCACAACAACAACTGGAAGGATAAACAGGTTTTGAGGGGGTGGTCAAGAAGACCGACCCCCCCCAACGTTTTTCACCGATGTGGGAGGAAAACAGCAAAATTGGAACTGCTCAAGTCACACCGGTCAAAGTGCTTTGAAGTCCAGGTAGCCCTTGACTTACAACCGTTCGTTTAGTGACCGTTCCAGGTTACAACGGCACTGAAAAACTAGTGACTGGCCTAAAGTCACCTAGTTGGCTTTCATGCCTAAGGAAGGACTAGAATTCACGGTCTCCTAGTGACTGGCCTAAAGTCACCCAGTTGGCTTTCATGTCTAAGGACTTGGGTTTGCTAGTCTAGAGAAAAGAAGGATTAAGGGGGACAGGATAGCAGAGTTCCAATATCTCAGGGGCTGCCCCAAAGAAGAGGGAGTCAAGCTGTTCTCCAAAGTGCCTGAAGGCAGGAGAAGAAGCAACGGATGGAAACTCATCAAGGAGAGAAGCAACCTGGAACTAAGGAGAAACTTCCTAACAATTAACCAGTGGAACAGCTTGCCACTAGATGTTGTGGGCACTCCATCATTGGAAATTTTTAAGAAGAGACTGGACGGTCACTTGTCCAAAATGTTTGAGGAGAGGGTTGGACTATAAGACCTCCAAGGTCCCTTCCAGCTTTATTCTGATTTGAGGGTAAGGAAGATCAAGCTTTTTTTGGGGGGGGGTGGGGTTTCTTTCCTGCTTTTAGGATTCTATCGATCAGTGAAATCCAGCACCATAAAATGCAATTTGACGCCATCACATTTGATTTTCAAACCGCCCTGAACTGGGTTAGAGTCACGCTGACACTCAGCTCAACAGTGACACCGTCGGGCGAGATCTGGGAGTAACAACTAAAATAGTTCATTTCTCCCCCCCAAAAAAATGTGGGAATCCGAGGCTTTTAAAAAGGAGATCTCCAGATTTTCAGGTTGATAAAAAAAGATGGGACAAAGTGAAGAGTTATTGGAAAAAGATACATGCCTGGCTAGAAAAGATGTTGGGAGAACGTGTAGATTTTAAACCTGAACTTATTTTTAATTAGGTATAATGCCAGAAAAGACTAACAAACAAAGCTTTATGTTTGATTTTGCACATCACAACAGCGGCAAGAATTATCTTTGCACAATGCTGGAAAAAGGAAGGAATACCATCAGATGAAGAAATAATAATAATTAAAAAAAATAGAATGCGCAGAGACGGACAGACTGACTATCAGACTGAAAGAAAAAGAAGAAACGGAATATTATCAAACTTGGGACTTATTTTATTGATGGCTACCATCAGATGAAGAAATAATAATAATAATAATAAAAAAATAGAATGCACAGAGATGGACAGACTGACTATGAGACTGAAAGAAAAAGAAGAAACGGAATATTATCAAACTTGGGACTTATTTTATTGATGGCTACCATCAGATGAAGAAATAATAATAATAATAAAAAAAATAGAATGCGCAGAGATGGACAGACTGACTATCAGACTGAAAGAAAAAGAAGAAACGGAATATGATCAAACTTGGGACTTATTTTATCGATGGCTAGAGGAAGGAATAAAGGATTAGGAATTAAATATGTATTAGCGAATGTAAACTCAGACAGCACGTTGGTTGAAAAATTATTACTGAACATATGAAAAAAAAAACTAATAAAAAACTTTTACCCAAAAAAAAAAAAAAAAAGGAAGATGGGAGCAGAAGGCCACAGGGACCGGCGTTTTGGTTACACCGACTTATTTGTTTGTTTTTATTTTTATTAAGATTTATACGCTACCCCATCTGGCTATCAAGCGACTCTGGGCAGCTTGCGACGTCAGAAATTCAGGGAGTCAACTTATGACCACCACTGAACCCCAAATTGATGTTGCTAAGTGAGACATTTTCTTCAGTGAGTTCTGCCCCGTTTTACGACCTTTCTCGCCACAACAAGTGAATCACGCCACTTGTTAAGTCAGGGGCACGGCGGTTAAGTGAACCCGGCCCCCCTACTGGTCGCAAAAGGGGACTACGTGACCCTCCCAGGAGCCTTGAAACCATCATAAATAGGAGTGGGGGTCTTGACTGCCCATGTGACCTGTGCAAAAAAAGGAGTGGGGTCTCGACCACCCGGTCACAGCCACCCTCTTGACTTTTTTGACCCCTACAGCCCCCAGACCCGGATACCGGCTCCAGGGGTGCCCTTACCATCTTGCCGTTCACAGTAGCCTCCAGCGAGTCCACCAGCTCAGCTGTGACACCAATGAGGTTGTGATAATCGGCTTGGATTTTGTTGAACCGCTTGAGGTAGGTCATGGTTTTCCGTTCGGACTCCACCAGCTGTTGGTGGAGCTGCTGCAACGTTTCTGCCGAGGATCGGAAGGGACGAAGTGAGAGAAAAAAAAAAAGAGCGTTGTAGTGATGTAGTAAGAACGGAGGCTTGCCTAAGAGTTCCCAGCTTGTTCCCCAAACTCTTGTTTTGTTCTCTCTTTTTTTCTCCATGTTAAGTTAGATCAGGGCTCTTCCAACTTGGCCCCTTGAAGACTTGTGGACTTCAACTCCCAGAATTCCTCAGCCAGCCCTGAGGGCTGGCTGAGGAATTCTGGGAGTTGAAGTCCACAAGTCTTCAAGGGGCCAAGTTGGAAGAGCCGAGTTAGATCAAAACTAAAACAACGGAAATTCTTGCTGGAATCTGAAGAGGGAGGCTGATGATCTAAAATGGGGATTATTTAATTTTGTAGCACTGCCTAGGGCAGGGGTAGGCAACCTTGGCTCTTTTATGTCTCGTGGACTTCAACTCCCAGAATTCCTCAGCCAGTCATGCTGAGGGGAAAGCAAGAGGTTTCCAAGCTGAGCCAGGCTGGCTCAGGAATTCTGGGAGTTGAAGTCCACGAGTCATAAAAGAGCCAACGTTACCTACCCCTACCTTAGGCCGCTTTATGATTCGTGGACTTCAACTCCCAGAATTCCTGAGCCAGCATGAGGGAACTATGGCTCCCTTCATGACTTGTGGACTTCAATTCCCAGAATTCCTGAGCCAGCCATGCTGAGGGGAAAGGGAGAGGTTTCCAAGCTGAGCCAGGCTGGCTCAGGAATTCTGGGAGTTGAAGTCCATGAGTCATAAAAGAGCCAACGTTGCCTACCCCTGCCTTAGGCCGCTTTATGATTCGTGGACTTCAACTCCCAGAATTCCTGAGCCAGCCATGCTGAGGGGAAAGGGAGAGGTTTCCAAGCTGAGCCACGCTGGCTCAGGAATTCTGGGAGTTGAAGTCCACCAGTCATAAAAGAGCCGAGGTTGCCTACCCCTGGCCTAGGGTTAGTGGCATCCCTTACAACCAACTTACAACCTCAACTTACAACCAAAATGGCAGCCAAAACTTCTGTGGCTAAGCAAGACACTTTTGAAGGGAGTTTTGCCCCGTTTTACGAACTTTCTCGCCACAGTTGCTAAGTCGGTAACACGGTCGTTAAGCGAATCGGGCTTCCTCCCCCATTGACTTTGCTGGTCAGAAGGTCGCAAAAGGGGATCGCGTGACCCCAGGGGACACCGCAACCGTCGTAAATTCGAATCGGTTGCCAAGCCATCTGAGTTTGGATCCTGTGACCGCAGGAAATCTTGCAGTCCTAAGTCACATTTTTGGGTGCGTTTTTTAACTTCGGTCACTGATATATTTCCTATATTTTTATCTCCTTCAGAACAAAGCTGGAATATATAATACAAAAGTAAATGAAGGTCCAAGAAGACATAAAAGAAAAAAGAAAAAGAAAAAAAGACAAAAAAGATGGTCTTTGTGTTAATTTCGGTCACTAAACGGATGGCTGTCAGTGGAGGGCCACCTATATTTGCCAGCAAAAACAAAAAACAAAACAGAAAACCCGCAGTGTATCGGGAGATACAATACAGGTAGTCCTCGACATACGACCACAATTGAGCCCAAAATTTAGGTTGCTAAGTGAGACGGTTGTTAAGGGAGCTTTCGCCCAATTTTACCACTTTTCTTCCCATGGTCGTTAAGAGAATCACTGCCGTTGTGAAGTTGTTAAGTGAATCCGGCTCTCCCATGGACTTTTGTTTGTTGGGAGGTCGCGAAAGCGGATCACTTGACACTGCGACCGTCGTAAGTACGAGTCGGTTGCCAAGCATCTGAATTCAGATCACGTCCCCATTAGGATTCTTCAACGGTCGTATGTGTGAGCAACAGCCGTTAAGTTATTTTTTTCAGTGACTTTGAACGGTCACTAAATGAATTATCGTAAGACGAGGACTTTATTTCTGTTTTAGGGCATAACCCCAACCACACCTAATCTTTGGTTTATTTAACAGCCGCAGCGTTCATTTAACAACTGCGCACACATGCGCGTGCACAAAAAAGGTTGTAAAATCAGGTCTGTTGCATTACTGACCCTTTTACGGCCATCATGACTTACGATCATGAGGGTCAGGCTTCATTATAGTTGTAAGTCGAGGACTAGGTAAATATTGTACCACCTTGAGAGCTACTACAGAGAGCTGAAAAATCCCAATTTCTTCATCTACGTATTTACCTTGGCTGCATTGCGTGTTTTCTTTCTGCGTCGCGAGAGGATGAGAGCTAAGGAAAATGGGCTTTTGGTTAGCATCCTATCCCTGTTTGTTAAGCATCCTATCCCTATCAGCATCCTATCCCTGTTTGTTAAGCATCATATCCTTATCAGCATCCTATCCCTGTTTATGGAACAGCTTGCCACCAGAAATCATGGGCGCTCCATCACTGGAAGTTTTTAAGAAGAGACTGGACATTCACTGGTCTGAAATAGTATAGGTTCTCCTGCTCGAACAGGGGGCTGGACTAGAAGACCTCCAAGGTCCCTTCCAGCTCTATTCTATTCTATTCTATTCTATTCTATTCTATTCTATTCTATTACATATTTTCTATTCTATTCCTATTCTATTCTATTCTATTCTATTCCTTATTCTATTCTATTCCTTATTCTATTCTATTCTATTCTATTCTATTCCATATTTTCTATTCTATTCCTATGCTATTCTATTCTATTCCTTATTCTATTCCTTATTCTATTCTATTCTATTCTAATTTATTCCATTCCATTCCTTATTCTATTCTATTCTAGTCATTCTATTCTATTCTATTCCTATTCTAATTTATTCCATTCCATTCCTTATTCTATTCTATTCTATTTTCATTTTCTATTCTATTCTATTCCTATTCTAATTTATTCCATTCCATTCCATTCCATTCCTTATTCTATTCTATTCTATTCTATTCTATTCTATTCTATTCTATTCTATTCTATTCTATTCTATTCTATTCTGTTCTATTCTAAAAAAAAGGGGATCTGAGTGAACCAATTTAATTGCTACATTTTTATCAACCGGCTAACCTGCGTATTTGTGCTGCTTCTAAGACGAGACTTAACAAGGCCGCCAGAGGCTGCTAAAGGCTCGCATGATTCTCAGCCTGAGAAAATGTTTTCTCCAGTTTATATTGTAGGATAACATCCCAGTTGTCTACAGTGTAATTCCCCACTGAATTTGCAATCTGAAAAAAGTTCCTTTCCCATCGATACAACTGCCTTCTCCTAAGGCGTTTTGTAAAGGATACATATAAGGTCAGAAGCCTCGGGCTGTCGCTGGCCTTCAGCGTGGCAGACAGAAATTCTTCCAGCCTCGTTTTTAGATCAGATTCCCAAGAATCCTGAAAAAAACAAACACACCCACCGATGAGAACTGTTGTACGTAAAGCTCCTTGGTTTTGCCATCTCCGCAAACTCATTGCGAAACGAATGGCGGGGTTTAGAGATCAAATTTAGGACAATTTTGTAAGACACTGGAAGTCATTAAGTGCCGTTTCCGCGAGTTTTAATACAAGAACGGACGGTTAACAGAGGGCTTTGCAGATTAGCTGATTTTAGCGGGTTTATTTGAAAGAGTTTTTTCTTTAACAATTAACAGACTGTCCTGGTTCCGACAGATGAAACTCTTCAAAAGAATTTCGAGGCATTGTTTACCTTAAAAGGATCTTTTATTCGAGTAGCATAATATTGGCACTGCATAATCGAAGCCAAAAACTGAATTCCCCTCCCCTGAGCACATAGTATCCAAGCACAATTCCCTCCTCCAATTAACGGTCATAAATCACATTCCCCAATTAGCTTGAAATGCAGGCTTCCTCTCGCCAATTCCTTATCAGCTCTGGTTACAATAATTACAATAACCTTGATCCTCACGCTAAGTTTAGTGTTGTTATGTCTAGCTGGACTCTCTCGTTCACACACACCCCTCCCAGCATCATCTAATTCTAAAAGCCAAAGGGAAAAAGATGGCTCCATTTCCATCTGTTGTCAATGCAAGAACATCTGATGTTAGCAGCGTTGACACAGACGCTGGGTCGACCCGAATAACTGATATTAGATTTCCATATTTTGAGACATCTTTTAAGTAACTGTAATGCAAAACAGTAATATTTCAAGTACAGGCAGTTCTGTGTCTTGGCCCAAGTGAGAAATTTGCTAAATGAGTTTTGCCGTTTTACGACATTTCTCACTGCCTTTTGTGTTGAGTGAATCACTGCAGTTCTTAAATTAGTCACACGGTCGTTAAGCGAATCTGGCTTCCCTCGTAGACTTTGCTTGTCAGAAGGTTGCCAAAGGGGGGCATGTGACCCCGGGGGATGCTGCGACCGTCATAAATACGAGTCAGCTGCCGAGAGTCAATGCTGATCACATGATCACGAGGAGGCTGCAACGGTCCGAAGCGTGAAAAATGGTCCTACGTCACTTTTTTCGGCACTGTTGTAACTTTGAACAGTCAGTAAACGAACTTTTCTAAGTCGAGGACTGCTGATATGGTAAAGTGTAGACGAGAAGGTGCCTAATTATTTGTAGACCCAATTGTACAAGAGGGGGGATCTATTAGATTTATTTGAGATCTATTTTCCAACGTTCAATCAGGGCAAATGATGCACGTTCAATGTTTAATGTTGATTCTACAGTAGTGGGCCAAAATTGTGGAAACCTTTTGGGAAAAGTGTATATTTGAGGTTGGATAACACCACTTTTTGTGGCGGGGGAGCAGTACCATAAAATTATATATCAATGGAAAGATAATTTAATCAAGAATGTAATGCAACCAAGTCTGTTCAAGTATCTGTACCGTATTCTATGAAAAGTTATAGCCAAATCACCAGAAAAAGGAAGCACAACTTGCTTAGGTTGATCTCAGGTAGCTTTCCTTCACCTGATAGTAGCCAATAAGCTTTAGGGCTTAAAGCAGGATTAGAACTCACCGTCTCCTGGTGATTGGCCCAAAGTCACCCAACTGGCTTTCATGCCGATGGTGGAACTAGAACTCAACACCTCCAGATTTCTAGGCCATTGTTGTGATTCCTCGCCAGTCAGTGGACCCGGCAGCTGAGTCTGAGGACTCAGAGGAGGAGGAGGAGGGGCCTGGAGTGACATGAGAGTCAGAGAAAGCTCTGAGGAGCTCCAATACTTACAGTCGGACGAGGAGCCGGGCCCCTCTACTCGTGCTCAGGCTGAGACACAGCTGTGCTAGGAGCCTAGGTTGGACAGTGATGAAGAACAGCTGGGACAAATCCTGGATGCACAAATGCGCAGGCAAGGGAAGCGAGTAGGACAGAGGAATGCAATGGGGCAGCTCCAAAGGCAAAGGAGAAGGCATTAGGAAGCCATGCCTGGGCTGAATTATAAAAGGAAAGGTGTGGGAGGTGCTGGTTGTGGAAGGCAACCGTTTGTGTTAAGGAATCAAGTTTCTGTGAACTGTGTTTGTTTGCCTTGGACATGGACTCAGGTCTGTGAGAACAAAAGGATTGGTTTTTTCTTGCGGTTCCTGCCTGTTTCTTGGAAGAGGGGTTTTTCCTTGTGAGCAAAACAAGGACTCACGTAGACTGGGACAGAGCAGCCATCTCCTTAACCACTACCACACTCTGAATTCCCTCTGACTCCGAGTTCCCAACCTTGCTTAGGCTAAGCGTTATGCTGCACCCGTCAGTCTTGACCAAGGAGGAGTGCAGCCGCCATTCCTGATCCAATTAAGGACATACCTGGAAAAGTTCTTTGAAGGACGGGTGGATCATCGGGTTGGGAACAAACGGCAGGGCGTAGAAAGGGAGGAATTCGGTTGTCTGGCTCAAAGCTGCCCCTTTAGTCTCCAGGTAGGTTTTAAAACACGCGATCCTTTCATCCAAAGCTGCTTTATCCTAAGGAAAGAAAGAAACATGGATCGGCATTAGGGTTTGTGCAGAATAGCGGATGCCCAAGAGCAGTTGCAATGTATGGCTGTGAAAGTGGGACCATAAGAAAGGCCGAGCGCCAAAGAATGGAGGCCTTTGAACTCTGGTGCTGGAGGGTTTAGCTTGCTAGATATAACAATACTGGACCTAGCATGAGAACCAAGGTTATTGAAATGAGAGATGATAAGAATTGGCGGGGTGGAGAACTGGAAGGAAAGCCTGGGTTTCAAACTAATTGGAGAATGTGATTTATGACAGTTAATTGGAGGAGGGAATTGTGCTTTGATACTATGTGCTCAGGGGAGGGGAATCCAGTTTTCGGCTTCGATTGTGTTAGTGCCGATATTATGATTCTCAAAATAAATATTCTTTAAGGTAAACAATGCCTCGAAGTTTTTTGAAGAGTTTCATCTGTCGGAACCAGGACATTAAGCCAAAAACTCAACCTCTGATATCCACCCTCCATTTCTCTCGGAAAAAAAAGCTCTGGGAAGCAATGCCAGGGCCCAAATTGGAATCCCGAGTTATTTCAAACATTTTCAAGCCATGACAGTACTGGACCACCATCCAAGAAGGAACGGTGACGGCTTGGCCACAAGTGACCAAGTTCCTTGCTTAAATCTTATCTCGGCTACCCAGGAGCCACAGAAACACACCTGGGCCCGGAATCAAAGCTCGGAAAACCCAGGACTGCTTTGAACCAGGTTTAATTTACGCTTAGGACTTATACTACCACGTTTTGCCAAAAATAAGACCCAACCGGAAAATTAGCCCTAGCCTGATTTTTCAAGATGCTCGTAATATAAGCCCCGCCCCAAAAATAAGCCCCAGTTTAATCGTCAGCCAGACAGACACATTTAAATACTGTATTTCCTCAAAAATAAGACTTAATCGGAAAATAAGATCTAGTGCATTTTGGAGAAAAAATTAATATAAGACCCGGCCTTATTGGTTCACAAGACGGCTTCCCAGAACGTCCGACATTATGGCCACTTGGATAATAATAATAATAATAATAATAATAATAATGATGATGATGATGATGATGATGATGATGATGATGATCATGATGATGATGATGATGATGATGATGATAACAACAACAACAACAACAACAACAAAAAAGCTGAAGAAACAGTGGACCACCTGGTAAGCTGCTGCAAGACGATCGCACAGACTGACTACAAGCAACGGCATGACAAAATAGCAACAATGGTGCATTGGAAGATCTGCAAGAAATATCATTTGCCTGTAAGCAAAATCTGGTGGGATCATAAAATAGAGAAAGTCATAGAAAATGATAAAATTAAACTGCTCTGGAACTTCAGAATTCAAACAGGCAAGCACCTGCAACATAACACCCCGGACTTAACAATTATCGATAAGAAAGACAAAACAGTCTGGCTAGTGGACGTGGCAGTGCCTGGAGTCAGCAGAATAGATGAGAAAGAACTGGAGAAGCTCACAAAATACAAAGACCTACAAATAGAAATAGAAAGACTGTGGCACAAGCAAGCAAGGGTAGCACCAATAGTCATAGGCGCCTTGGGTGCAATCCCAAAACAACTGGAGCACCACTTGGACACCATCAGCATTGACAAATTCGCCATCAGTCAATTGCAAAAGGCGGCCTTACTAGGAACGGCTTCCATCCTGCGACGAGATCTGTAATACCATCAAACATCCACATCTGCCTATCCCAGGTCCTTGGGAAGAACTCGACAGGTAGACAAAAATGCCAAATCCAGTCTGAACATCTGGCTGACTGTGTGATGATCCATAATAATACTATCCATGCAACAAGGAAAAATGGCAAAAATAGAAGGAATAGAACTGGAAAATAGAAGAATTGTGAAAGCACTAGCAAAGGATGATGGATACAAATACCTAGGCATATTGGAAGCAGATAACATCTTGAATGGAACAGTCAAAGAGTCAACGCAAAAGGAATACATCAGGAGAGTCCGCAAAATTTTAAAATCAAAGCTGAATGCCGGAAACATAATTAAAGCCATCAATACATGGGCAGCCCCAGTGATACGCTACCCAGCTGGAATTATCAACTGGACTTTGGCTGAACTGGAAAACCTAGACCTGAAAACGCGTAAACTTTTGAATATGCACCACGCTCTACATCCACGAAGTGACACCGACAGGTGGTACCTGCCAAGAAAAATAGGGGGCAGAGGGCTGTTGCAAATCCACCAAACTGTAGAAGAAGAAAAAGGAAGTTTGAATGACTATGTGAATCAAAGTGCAGAAAAACTGCTGCAGGCTGTGAAAACAGAGAGCACTATAAAAATAACAGAAACAAAGGCAGAATATATAAGGGAAAACGGCTGGATGACAGATTAAAGAGATGGAAAACCGAAGCTCTGCATGGACACATTTGAAAAACATTGAAGGAAAATGTGATAACAACTTGACACGGGCATGGCTTAAGACGGGAACCATCAAGAAAGAAACGGAAGGCTTAATACTGGCTGATCAAGAACAAGCACGACAAACTAATGCCATGAAAGCGAAGATACAATCCAAATTGACGACTTTGCAGTGACAAAGTTGAAACTGTTTCACACCTAATCTGTGAGTGCAGGAAAATCGCGCAAACTGACTACAAAGCTAGACATGACCGAGTTGCTAAATTGATCCACTGGGCATTGTGTAAAAAATACGACTTGCCTGTGTCCGAAAAGCCGTGGGAACATAGGGTGGGAAAAGTTGTCGAGAATGAGAGGGTGAAGATCTGGTGGGACTTCCGAATACAGACAGATCGCCATTTGGAACACAACACGCCGGATATCGCAGTTGGGGAGAACCGAAGCGTACAGCTGATTAACATCGCTGTACCGGGAGATGCTAGAGTCGAAGAAAAAGAACTGGAAAAAATGATGAAATATCACGACCTGGCCATCGAAACTGCACGATTATGGATGAAACGTGTAACAGTGATACCCATTGTCATCGGGGTACTGGGAACTATGTCCCAAAACTTTGCAAAATGCATCAAGAAACTGCAGCTTCCTGCAATAACTCTAGCAAAGCTACAAAAAAAACTGCGCTACTCGAAACATCTAACATTTTAAGGAGGTGCCTGGCTGACACCCAGGATGCTGGTAGCAACCCATGTCAACCATCAGCGCCAGCAAATTTGAATGTTCAGTTGACTGAGGTTCACGTCTAATGAATAACTATAATAATAGAGTTGGAAGGGACCTTGGAGGTCAGCTAATCCAACCCCTTGCTCAGGCAGGAAACCCTATACCAGGGGTAGGCAACCTTGGCTTTTATGACTCGTGGACTTCAACTCCCAGAATTCCTGAGCCAGCCATGCTGAGGGGAAAGGGAGAGGTTTCCAAGCTGAGCCATGCTGGCTCAGGAATTCTGGGAACTGAAGTCCACGAGTCATGAAGGGGCCATAGTTCCTCCATGCTGGCTCAGGAATTCTGCGAGTTGAAGTCCGCGAGTCATGAAGGGGCCATAGTTCCCCCTTGCTGGCTCAGGAATTCTGGGAGTTGAAGTCCACGAGTCATGAAGGGGCCATAGTTCCCCCATGCTGGCTGAGGAATTCTGGGAGTTGAAGTCCACGAGTCATAAAAGAGCCAAGGTTGCCTACCCCTGGTTTAGGCTGTGGTGCTGCCTTGCTTCTTAATAATAATAATAATAATAATAATAATAATAATAATAATAATAATAATAATAATAATAAGAAGAAGAAGAAGAAGAAGAAGAAGAAGAAGAAGAAGAAGAAGAAGAAGAAGAAGAAGAAGAAGAAGAAGAAGAAGAAGAAGAAGAAGAAGAAGAAGAAGAAGAAGAAGAAGAAGAAGAAGAAGAAGAAGAAGAAGAAGTTGGAAGGGACCACGGAAGTCATCTAATCCAACCCCCTGCTCAGGCAGGAAACCCTATACCATTTCCGACAAATGGCTGTCCAGTCTCTTCTTAAAAACCTCCAGTGTTGGAGCATTCACCGCTTCTGGAGGCAGGTGGTGCCACTGGTTAATTGTTCTCACTGTCAGGAAGTTTCTCCTTCGTTCTAGGTTGCTTCTCTCTTTGGTTAGTTTCCATCCAAAACAACGATGGCTGTTGCGAGACTCGCTCTAAATACTTGTGATGTTGGGCAAAGGCAACCGCCCAAGCCCACTTCAACGTTTGCCCGGCACTTTTAATTGAGCAGGGATTCAAAAGCCAGGAAGAGAGAGAAGCCACTTAGCAAGACTTATCTGTTTTTTTGAGATAACATCAATTCTCACCTCTTCCGTCACGCGGGCAGCCTCCAGGTGAGTACCTGGCACCAGGAAAACACTTTTTTGCGCAGCCAACTGAGCGATCCGGGTATCTGATTACTAAGCCAGCCTGCCACATCTCTGGACGTGGGCAGCGTGCCAGCCTTGCAAATATCATTTATCAAGCTTTTGTTTCTACCCCTTCAAGATAATCTTGATCCGGGTGAGAAAAACCACACCTTCCCACGACCCAGCACCAGTGGCGAGAAAGAGATTGCCAACCAGTTTGAGGCCGATCCAATTCCTCCGCCGACTGAACATCCCACAGGCAACAACATATCACGTAGGAAAGTATTCAAAAGCCTGCCTGGCTTTTGCACAAAGACAAAACAAGTTACAGGCAGTTCTCGACTTACGCCCGTCACTGAGCCCAATGTTTCTGTGGCTATTCTATTCTATTCTATATTTCTATATTCTATTCTATTCCATTCTATTCATTATTCTATTCTATTCTATATTTCTATATTCTATTCTATTCTATTATATTACATTCATGTTCTGTTCTATTCTATTCCATTCCATTCCATAATTCTACTCTACTCCTATTCTATTCTATTCTATTCTATTCTATTCTATTCTATTCTATTCTATATTCTAGTCTAGTCTAGTCTAGTCTATATTCTATTCTATTCTGTTCTATTCTATATTCTCTTCTTCTATTCTATTCTATACTCTATTCTCTTATTCTATTCTATTCTATATTCCTATTCTATTCCATTCTATTTTATTCTATTCTATATTCTCTTATTCTATTCTATTCTATTCTATTCTATTCTATTCTATTCTATTCTATTCTATTCTATATTCTCTTCTATTTTATTCTATTCTATGCTATATTCTCTTCTCTTCTCTTCTATTCTATTCTATTCTATTCTATTCTATTCTATTCTTCTTCTATATTTATTCTATTCTATTCTATTCAATTCTATATTCTGTTCTATTCTATATTTCTATATTCTATTCCATATTTCTATATTCTATTCTATTCATTATTCTATTCTATTCTATATTTCTATATTCTATTCTATTCTCATTACATTACATAACATTCATGTTCTGTTCTATTCTTATTCATGTTCTATCCTATCCTATTCTATTCCATTCCATTCTATTTGGAAGGCTGATCTGGAGAATTAGGAACAAGCATCCATGAAGATTAGGTTTTTCTCATTCCCCTCCTCCCCGCTCCACCCCAACCCCAATACAAGAGGAAAACAAACTTCAACATTTCCCCTCTTGACGGCAAACTACCTTGTTTTTTTTAATTAATACCCCAATGCATCAAACCACAGCCAGATCAAGACATAGTGCATCCCACATACCAGCAGGCAGCATTAAAATCAAAACGGTAGCTTGGAATCTCGAGTTTGCAGGCAAGCCCTGGGTTTGAACACATTAGGGTTGGACATTAATTGTGAAAAACGACATGCTGCTAAACAGAAACAGACCTTTCTAATTTCCTACTTTCAAAGAGACACACCAGAGGATTGTGCGCTCAAGGGGGCTGT